TCCCACCACCACCATCACCACCAGGCCCACAGTGATCACACATACACAGTCAATCCACACAAGTTATATAAAGAACTTCCAAGTATTTCTGAGCTTTTATGTTAATGTGTCATATTATTAATTGACTAATAAATTTAAAACTCTTCCAAGTCACATTATTGTTCAAACCCTGGAAGATTAAATTGGAGGGTTATAAATCACACTTTTTCTTTTTCAACTTTGCCTAAGAAACTGAGATCCTAGAGATGTGTTCTCTCCTGGTGAGAATAACTACCATTTTTTGTAGTCAAGTCCATTGTTAAGTCTTCCCCTACTTTATCATAACTTATTGTCACAACCCCCTAGGAAATGGTTATTTTTTAAAAATAATTTTATTTTTTAATCACCAGTTGACATACAATATAATATTAGTTTCAGGTGTACCCCCAGTGATTAGACATTATATAACTTACTAAGTAATCATCCCAATAAATCCCATAGCCATCTGACATCATACATACTGGTTAGATTATGGACTATATTCTCTGTGCTGTACCTTATATCCCATCATTATTCTGTTACTACCAATTCGTACTTCTTAATCCCCTCACCTTTTTCACCCATTGCCCCAACACCTCTCTCTTCTGGCAATTGCCAGAATGTTCACTGTATCTATGAGTCTGTTTCTGTTCTGCTTGTTTATTTTGTTATTTTAGATTCAATTATTGTTAGATATGTATTTATTGACATTTTATTGTTCATATTTTTTAAATCTTTTCCCTAATTTTCTTCTTCTTATAAGAAGACCCTTTAACTGACATTTCATGTAATACTGGTTTATGGCGATGAACTCTTTTAGCTTTTTCTTGTCTGGGAAGCTCTTAATATGCCTTTTGATTCTCACTGATAGCTTTGCTGGGTAGAGTAATCTGGCTATAGGTCCTTGCTTTTTTTTTTTAATTATAAGAATAGTTTACTTACTTTTAAATATATATCTACTGAAGAAAGTAATGAAGAGAGAGAGAGAGAGAGAGAGAGAGAGAGAGAGAGAGAGAGAGAGCGCGAAAGAGAGAGAGAGAGAGAGAAATGATGAAAATCATTTGTCAGCCGCCTCCTGCACACCAAACACTAGGGTTTGAGCCAGAAACAATGGCAGCCCTGACCAGGAATTGAACCATGACCTCCTGATTCATAGGTCAATGCTCAAATATTGAGCCATGCTAGCCAAGTAGGTTTATTAATTTTTAGAAATTGAAGAAGGGAGCAGGAGAGAAACATAGATACAAGAGTGCAACATTGCATAGGTCCTTACTTTTCATCACTTTGAATATTTATTGCCAAACCCTTCTGGCCTGCAAAGTTTCAGCTGAGAAGTCAGCTGACAATCTTATGGGAGCTCCCTTGTAGGTAAGTAACTCTTTTCTTTTGCTGCTTTTAAGATTCTCCCTCTGTGTTTAAAATTTTGCATTTTAATTATAATGTTTCTTGGTGTGAGCCTCTTTGGATTCATCTTGTTTGGGATTCTCTGTGCTTCCTGGACTTGAATGTCTATTTCCTTCACCAGATTGCAGAAGTTTACTGTCACTATTCTTTTAAATAGGTTTTCAATTTCTTGCTTTCTCCTTGAAGCAAATATTAGAATCCTTAAAGTTGTCCCAAAAGCTCTTTACACTATCCTCATTTTTTTATTATTATTCTTTTTCCTTTTTGCTATTCTGATTGAGTGTTTTTTTGCTTTCTAATATTCCAAATTGTTGTTTTGATTCTTGGCTTCATCCACTCTACTGTTGATTCCCCTTAATTTATTCTTCATTTCAGTTCATGTATCCTTCATTTCTGACTGGTTCTTTCTTATGTACTAAAGTTCTGACTAAGTTCATCTACTCTTCCCCTAAGTTTGTTGAGCAGCCTTTCAACTAGTGTTTTGAACTCTGCATCTAGTAGATTATTTATATCCATCTTGTTTAGTTCTCTTTCTGGAGTTTTCTTCTTTTCCTTTATTTGGGACATTTGTCTCCTTATTTTGGCAACCTCCCTGTGTTTGTTTCTATGTATTGCGTAGAGCTGCTATATCTCGCAGGCTTGGTAGAATAGCCTAATGTAATAGGTATCCTATAGGGTCCTGTGGCACAGCCTCCCCGTTCACCTAACTCCAGATGTGCTTCCCCCTGTGGGCTGTGTACACCCTCCTGTTGTAGTTGAGCCTTGATTACTGTTGGCACATCAAGGGGAGGGATTGACCCCCAGGCCTATCACCTGCAAGGATTGGCTGCAGCCACCATGGAGGACCAGCAGTACAATGGCCCAACCCAAGGAGCAGGAATTTAGAGGGGCTCTGATGCCCGCGGAGTTCAACACTTGTGTGTATCACTTGGGGAGGTGCTTAGCTGTGGTCTGAAGCTGTCCACCAGGCTCACGGCTCTGGGGACTCCCAGAAGGTGCAGGCCAAGAGTGGCCACCACCTGTGTTCTACCTGGAGCCATCTGGTATGAGCAACAAAGTGACTGCAGAAGCCTGCCACTCTTCTGGGTTTGGAGGTACCCAGGTGTAGCCAAGCTGCAAACCAAGGCTGACTGCCACTTGTGCTAGCCCTGGGGATACTTAGAGAGCAGTACAGGGCATGCCAAGACCAGATGCTGCTGCTTATTTGAGAAATTTTAGGAAACTCAGAAGCGTGAGCCAAGACAGGCCATTCACATGGAAAAACCACTGGAAACAGCCCGTGTGGGCCCAAAAGTTGGTGGGATAGGGTCTCTCAGGAAATCACCAGGGCAGGACAAACAATGATAGGTTGATGGAAGACTCGGATTTGATACCTGCCTGCCAGGTCTATTGGGGGAAGGGCTCAGAAAAGGCACAATAGCTTCTGCCAGCACTTCTATCTGGAAGAAAGCTGTCCCTCCAGCTCTTGCCTGGATGCCAGACAATATAGTTACTCCCTGGATGTCCCTCATGCCTTTCCAACTGCTTCCCTAGTGTTGGAACTCAAAGGGAGTGAATCCAAGTAAATTCATGTTTAGATCCTTTAAGAGAAACTGCCTGGGACTCCAGCAGCCCTCTTTCTCACTCAGCCAAAATCCCTGCTGCACTTTACAGCCAGAAGTTATGTGATCTCTCTTCCCAGAACTGGAACTCTGGGCTGGGACGTTCTGGGGTGGGGCTGGGACCTCTCGTTACTCTGGGCATCTCTGAAGCTGAGATATACCTTCCAATTTTTTTCTTGGGTGTGGACCAGGCTGTTGGGTCTCCACCCCTCCTACTAGTGTCAATGTGGCTTCTTCTTAAAATCCTTGGTTGTAGGACTGCCATTCAGCTAGATTTCCAGTAGTTCTGAATGATGGTTGTCTTGTAGTTGAATTGTATTTTTGATGTCTGGAGATAATGATTATCATAGCATTTTACTGATGAGTAAAATGAGGTTCTAAGAATGAACCAAGCTCACCCTCCTAGCAAATGAAGACTCTAAATACAAACCCACCTCTGAGATGATATTCCCACTACCCTAGCCTGTCTAATCTCACAAGAGTCTGGTACTTAATAAATACTCCATTAGTGATAAATTAAGCCAAAGGAGAAAAAACCTTGGTATTTTTCTGACCGTGGGATTTTCTTAATGGCATCCACTCTAGGCACTACATGACAGTCAGTTGGGGCCTCCGGGAAGGATCAACTCCACCTGGACTGGGTCCAGCACGCAGGTGCGCACCTGGCATTCCGCTCCTCCCGCTCCTCCCCCTCCTCTCCCTCCTCTCCCCTCCTCTCCGCCCTGGAATCACGGGGCTGGGGCGCTGAGGCCATGGAGAAAGTGTCTGCAGCCTGAGCAGTGGGTGGGAGTGGAAAGGGGACAAGAACAGCGTGTGCCTGCGGGAATTTGCTCCCTAAGGTCCCTGCAGTGATTGCGTTCGAGTCTGGCTTCCTATAAACAAAAGCAGAACAATGAGAGGAAGGAATACCAGGAGGCACCAGCACAAGCAGTCAGGAGAGGAAACGCGCTCCTTGTGCACGCCCGCAGGGCGGCTCCAGGCTCCAGGCCGCCGGTGGGGGGCAGCCGGCCTGCAGGCGCACTGCTGGCACATGCAGAGCTCTCCAAGGAGAAAAGAAAGTTTGGGGAGGACGGATACTGTTTTTCCTTTTTCTTTTTCTTTTCTTTTTCCTAGTAGCAAAGCGGTGGGGGGGGGGGGGGGGGGGAGAATGGAGCTGCCTGGCTCAAAAAGCAAGCATCACTGACACTCGGGTAACCTTTCAAAATCCTGCGCCTCCCATACTGAGTCCTTTTGCTGCTCCCACCATAGAAGGTTAAATTAAAATAAAACGGGGAGGGGGGTACTGGGGGCCTGACAAACTCAGATGACGCCATCCGAATCTGGGGAGAAGGAAGGCACGGGAACAGGTAGAGAACGTGGTGAAGGCAGAGCTTAAGCTCTATGGCACCGGGTGATACCCGCCAGCTCCGAGGGCGGCGCCCGCAGCTTTCCCCGGAACGCGCCCTGGGCCCCGCGCCCTGGCACTGGCACCTCGTCCTCACCCTCCGCCCGCCAGGGAGGTCGTGCGCCGGAGCAGCCTTTTCGACCGCCCCATCCCCAAGGGCGAAGATGCCCTAGACCAGCTCCCTCGCTTGCCTTCTCCCTGCAGGTATGTCACACAGCACCTGACGCGAAGCATCCCGCGTCCCCATCACCTCCTCCCGGCCGCTCAGCATCCCGGGCGCCCGCTCCTCCTCCTCCCTCCCTCCACAGCGGACCCCAAGAGGGAGCTCGCAGCTCGGCATCCCAATGGGAAAGAGCTCAAGATCTCGACGCCTCCAAAGTTTGTGAAAGTTTGCAAAGGGCGGGGATGGGGTACAGGGTAGGGTGCTGACCTGGAGAATGGGGAGGATCACCTGTGGACGGAGGGAGGGAGGGAGGGAAAGTTAGTCTGGCCCCACCTTCCCGGGGTGCCCCGCTGATCCCCACAATGAGGGACCTCCCCTCCCCTCTCCTCCTTTCCCCTCCCCTCCTCTCCCCTCCCCGCCCCGCGCTCACCTTGAGCCCGCGGATCTCTCCCAGGTGCAGCTGCAGGCGGCGGTTCACCTCGCGGATGAGGTTGCTGTGGTCCAGCATCGCGCTCACCTTCTCGGCCTCGGCGCGCCGCAGGCTGCGGACCAGCTCCTCCTTGCTCCACTGCAGCAGCTCCTCGTCCGACACTTTGGACAGGTCCTCCACGGCGGCGGGCGGGCCGGCCGGGGCCGGGGGACAACTTTCCGCCGCCGCCGCCCCGCCTCCGGCCGCCTTCGACATGGTGCCCGCGCGGGTGGCAGGTGCGAGCGGGCGCGAGAGGCAAAGCAGCGACTCCCCAAGGCGCGGGCGCGGCGGGGCCGCCTCCGCCCACACCCTGTGCGCTCGCTCCGGGGCGAGTCAGCGGCGCCGCCGCCCGGGAGCCGCGGGGCTGGGGCGACGAGGCTCGCGCAGGGCGGCCATCCTACCTCGCCATCCCCGCGCGCCCCCGGGGCCCGGCCGCCTCCCGCGCGCCGCCGCCGAGGCGCGTCCCAACTGCGCGCAAGTCCATGGCGAGGGGCGCGGAGGGGGGCGCCCCGCCCCGGTGCCCCTGACCGCTCCTCCTGCGCCCTAATTCGAGGCGGTCGCCCCCCACACTCTGGCACACACACGCGGGCGCCGGTCTCCCCCTGGTCGGGTTACAGCCCGCGGCTACTCTCCTCTCCTGATCGTGCAAGGGCGCGCCGGACCCCGCGGCACCTCCGGGGCGGCCGGCTGCGCTCCTCCGGTCGCCTCTGCTGCGCCCTCCGCCGCTCCGAGGCTGCTGCTGGGAGAAGCCGTGGATTCGCGGAGTGGAGCCGTAGGGGAGTGGGGGGGTGAGGGGGGAGGTTGGGGGTGGTCTGGACGGGTAGGAGGAGGAGCCTGGAAACCCGGAGGGGGGCCCCCCCGCAGCCGGTCGCCACTCCCGCGCCGGCCGGATGCTGCAGCGACTCTACAGCATCCCGGGCCCTGGAGGCGCGCCCCCCGCTATTCCGCCGGGGAAGGTCGGGGGCGCGGCTCCTCCTGCGCTGGGACGCGGAGGGAAGGGAAAGGGGGCGGGAGGGGGTAGGGTGGGGGGGCGCGACCGGCTTTGGGAGGCTCGCGCGCGCCACCGTGTGGCCAAAGGAGCTCCCTCCGCACACCAGGCAGGGCCAAAAGGAGAGAAGCTTGGTATTTGGAGGATTTGGGATTCAGGAAAGATGGGTAACAGGGCCAGGCCTGAGGGGTAGCCGTCCGTTCCTATTTTGGAGAAAGGAAGAAGGATCGGTGGGGGAAGAAGGGGGTGGGGCGTTTTGGGGAAGGAACGTTTTTAAAAATCCTCAAGCTCTGGAAAGGGGAAAGAGAGGCCTCAGGGCACTGCTCCTTAGACACCACCCACCCCCAGGCCTTTGTCTTTTCTAAAAGCTCACGACTTTGCTAAGAAGCTTCAGGGGAAGGAGCTGGGTCTTTCACATTTTTATGTGGAAAACATCAAAGCCTTAAAGGAGAAAATGAAACACCTTCATCTCCTACTTCCCGAGGCCTGGATTTTAAGGTCAGGTCACCTTCCCTTCTGAGAGAAGCATGGTCCCTTAGGCGAGCTGAAATGCCAGCCAAGGAGATTTCCATTTTCCTCTGTGCTGCAGGTTGCCCTTACTTACCAGTTCAGCTTATTATGATGGTAATTTCTACTAGGGGGTGCCCAGGGCCCCTGGGTTCTATCTTTGGGCTGCGAGAGTCCCTCCCACCTCCCCATTCCACCCTCCTGTGAAGTTGTATGGAATCATCTCTGAGCTGAAAACTCTTCTTGGATTTGGTCTAGTAGGTGAGTGCCCTCCTCTCCGGGGTGGACACAGAGCCAGAAAACTGCAAGGACTCACCCCCCCGGAGCGTCACGGGACCAGGGTGCCCAGGGAATCCTCTCCACCTGGATGCACACTGAAATTCGAGTCTCTCCACCAGCTAGTTCCGTGTGTCCCCCGACAAAGCAGCCACCTGCTAAGAGATGACCAGTCAGGGACCTGGTTCCTGGGGAGCAAGGGAAGCTGGTGCTGCCCTCTGACCCAGACAGCCCTAAAGATCCCCTCAGCCTGACTGAACTTTAGACGGGTTTCTTCCTGGCTCTAGGTCACCCTTTCCTTGCAGCACTTCCTTTAGAAGACTCCCTTGTAAATTATCCCTCTGCTCTTGAGAGGTAGCTCTCCCAGCTTCTCACCAGGTTTACCACCCAGGAGGTTTACCTCAAAGGACCGGGAAACCATCAGGGAATACAGGGCCGCTCTATCCCAGTCCCTGTGGGAGGGTAGAAGCCTAACTTCTGGGAATGCTGTTTAGCAAACACATATGGCCTGAACACATTGACCAACTCCATCTCCTGCTCCCAACGTCCTCCAGTCTTCTGTCCTTTCCCAATAGCTCATCTCAGGGCTTAAGGACCCGCTTGCTTTTGCTTTTTTATGTCTAGTTAAATTCTCATTCTCTCTCTCTCTCTCTCTCTCTCTCTCTCTCTCTCTCTCTCTCTCTCTCTCTCTCTCCCCCTCCCTCCCTCCCTCTCTTTCTTCTCCTCCCCCCCCCCATTGCAATTGTCTTGAATGAAGTCTTCCTTTCCTGTTTTACTATGTCCAATGCAGTATTTTTTGGACACCTCCCTTTTTCTCGTATACACAAAGGCTCTCAACACAGTTCCTAAGAACTCTTTTGGCACAGGGAGGGGAAAATGTAAGTCAGAACAATTTGAGCTCCCACTCCTGTCACTTGTTAGCTCTTCTCTTCGAACAAATCATCTAACCTTGGGCAGCTAATGAGATAATGTAGGTGAAGTGCTTATCAAGTTACGTAGAAATGCAACTTTATCATTCCTGATATACATTTGGGTAGCTCCTTATCTGGAAATAGCAATGCCTAAGTCTGTGTTTTTTGTTGCTTTTCTCCATCATAGGTTTGTTCTTCCAGAGTCCTATTCTAAAACAAAACAGCCCCCCTTTGCTGCTAACTGTCTTAGACGATTTAACACCCATGAAGACATCATAAGGTAGATCGGCGGCTGAGAAGAGCATCTGGACTTGTGTTGGGAGGACAAGGAAGAAGGAAACTGAAGGAAAATTTCTCCACAAGTTTATATAACCAGCAGCTGCTTACTGTTGGACTAGATCACCTTAATGAGGTTTTAACATTTTGAAGGGGAACAAGTTTTGCCTTTTGGGATATTGCTTTTAAGCTGTTTATTAAGAAACAAAAGACTCATTGTTTAAAAAGAAAAACACTCAAAGGACCTTTGACTACCCCCCTCCTTTCCTGCCCAAGAGAGTCTGTTAGAAAAACTAGGATATTCCCTTAGCCTAATTTGAATTGTAAGAGGGCTTTAGGCAGGGGCCTGTGACCTAGATATCCCTATGTCCCATTGTTTCTGAGTTGCCTAGCAAGAATTTGTCTGCCATCTATGCTCCACATTTTATATATATATATATATATATATATATATATATATATATATATATATATATATATATAAATAATTGATTTTAGAGGTGAAGGGAGAGGGAGAGATAGAAATATCAATGTTGAAAATCATTGATTGGCTGCCTCCTGCATGCCACCTACTGGGGATCGAGCCTGGAACGAAGGCATGTACCCTTGACCAGAATTGAACCTTGGACCCTTAAGTCCATAGGCCGACGCTCTATCTGCTGAGCCAAACCAGGCACTTTTCCTCATCTACCTGTAAATTGCTCATTCTCACTTCTGAAATTTAGGATCCCAATTCCCCTTTGTCCAAATTGTCATATATATTAAATGTTGCCTCACTGCCTTTGGAATTTTCATGCATATGTGAATTTGCCATGTGCATATGTTAAGAACTTACTTTCCGCCGAAACTGGTTTGGCTCAGTGTTAGAGCGTCGGTCTGCGGACTGAAAGGTCCCGGGTTCGATTCCGGTCAAGGGTATGTACCTTGGTTGCGGGCACATCCCCAGTAGGGGGTGTGCAAGAGGCAGCTGGTCCATGTTTCTCTCTCATCGACATTTCTAGCTCTCTATCTCTCTCCCTTCCTCTCTGTAAAAAAGCAATAAAATATTTAAAAAAAAAAAAAGAGTTTATTTTCTCCTGTTAATCTGTCTGTTAATTTGACTATTAGCCCAACTAAAAGAACTTAGAAGGTGGGAGGAAAAATGTTAATTTACTTTAGTCCCCGCAGTTTCTAGTTTTGGTCATTGATTGGGAATAATGTGTCTTCATGTTGGTAAGGTCATGTGTGGTGACAGGAACTTTACTTGGCTATTAACAACAGATTTAAAAAAAAAAAAAAAAAAAAAAAAACAGCCCGGCTGGTGTGGCTCAGTGGTTGAGTGTCGACCTATGAACCAGGAGGTCACAGTTCGATTCCTGGTCAGGGCACATGCCCCAGTTGTGGGCTCGATCCCTAGTAGGAGGTGTGCAGGAGGCAGCCAATCATCATTCTATCATTGATATTTCTTTCTCTCTCTCTTTGAAATAAATTTTTAAAAATATTTATTTTTTAAAAACAGACAAAAAATAGTCACTTAACACGTTAAGCTCCCAACCTGTTTTGTCTTCCAGACAGAAAGTATAGTGTCAGTCACCGGTGACTGACTGGGCACTTAACGTGTTAAAAGAGGGCATTTACTTTCTCTAAATCAGGCGTGAAGGGTGGTATGGTATCTTTTTTATTATTATTATTAAGGTATTATATATATGTGGTATCTTTATGATGTCATCAAAGACAGGCTCCCTCTCTCCACTCAGCCATCTTTAGCCTAAAGGCCTCCTAGCCACGGAATACCTGCTGGCATCCATCTGCACTTGAGGCAGAGAAAGATTAGGAGCAAATGATTAAAAAAAAAAAAAAAAAGCACATGTCCCGATGAAAAGTTTTTCTGATAAATACAACCTAGCGAATCTCATTTATATCCAGGGTTTCCCTGCCAGCTACAAGGGAAGCTAGGTGGAAAATGCTTAATTAAGCACATTATTGACAAGTAACATCAGAGCTGATTTGGTAAAAATAAGAAAACAGATATTGGATAGGCAACTGCACTCCTTAGCAGTGGACTCTGTACAGTAAATGGGGACATCTAAACACCAGCTATAAGTGACTAAGTCATTCTGAAATAACTGCTCCATTGCAGCTCACTAGTTCCCAGCCCACATTCTTACTACGTCTCACCTGAACCTCACAACGCTAGCATCTCGTCTCTCAAATCTGCTTTCCACACAACTACATAAGTGAACTATGTAAAACAAAACAAAACAAAACAAAACAACAAC